ATTGGAGGCTGAGGGGAACCTGATAAAGTGTGTAAAATTATGAGAGGTCTGGAGAGGGTGATTACAGGAATTTGTTTTTCCCAGGGAGGAAATGTCAAACACTAGCGGGCATAGGCTTAAGGTGATAGGAGAAAATTTAAAGGAGAAATGCAGTGCAGCTTTTGCACACAGAGGGTGGTAGGTGCCTGACACACACTGCTGGTGAGGCAGTAGAAGCAGATACAATAGCAATGTTTAAGAGGCATTTAGACAGACACAAGAATAGGCAGGGAATAGAGGGATACGGAGCATGTATAGGCAGATGGCATTAGTTTAGAATGGCATCATAGTCAGCACAGACGTGGTGGACCAAAAGGCCTGTTCCTGAGGCGTATTGTTCTATGTTAACAGGTTGATGGAATAGGCAGACAAGTGGTAAGCTGACCGCAGATGAATGCACAAAATGCAAATGGATAATTTTGGTGGGAAGGACGAAGAGAGGCAATATAGAGTCGAGTACAGGGATCTGACAGCATAGAGTATGAAAGCTCAACAAGAACCTGCTTTGGCCTCAACTGGAGCACTCCATCCACATTTTCGAGCGGATGTGAAGTTATTACAGAAAGTTCAGAAAGGGGGATGTGGTGGCACAGTAATGGAATAGTAATGGTAATATAGTAGTTGCCCAGTACCCCAGGCTAATGTTCTGGGGTCATGGGTTTGAATCCCATCATGGAATGAAAACCTGGCCCAGTGCCAACTAGGTAATCAATGTCAATCAGGCGAGTCCCTCCTGCAGGCAGCCAACATAGACAAGGAGTCTCAAAACGCCTCCCTCTGTGCTGTAACCATTCTGCGCTTCTATGATATACAATCCATCTGGACGAGATTCCAGTCTCAAATCACTCCCAGATAGTCATAAACTACGCAAGCCCCTTGACGAAGATTCCGATCTGTAATCGCTGCGAAAGAAATAAGACTGGGGGAAATCAAAAGGGACTGCCAAATCACCTTCCCCAGTTTTAGGAAACTCGGCAAGAGTTATAAATAAGTCCCACCGGCCCTAATTGGGGAGATTGAGACAGAGATGTTGCTGATGAGTACACAGTATCCCCAAGGTTAACTACAGGCTGGATACATTTCACCGTAAAGGGCCATTCAGCATGTACTCACACTGACTATAAATCTTTCCTGAGAGCTGTGAGCCTATGAATGGATGGAGTTTATGACCACTGGTTATATGGCAAGAAACAAGCCTGTGCCAGGGGAATGAGAAATGTTGGGTTTCCCCTCATTTTAAAGTGATGGGCCCAATATATTCATAGCACAGCCAGCAATGAGCTGGACTGAGATCAGCTGGCCCTTGTTTAACTCAAGGCGAGGTGTAGACAGCTTTCCCAAACTTCCCTGGTCCCACGCAGCATTTTGCAAAAGAAATCATTTTTCACACAATGAACAGACAACGACCCCTTCAGTTATCTGTCGGATCAGACATGGCAGTTTCCTTGTCTTCCTTTCCCTGTGTTGGGGTTCCAGTGTTCACCGGTGTCAGGTGGTAGTGCCCCAGATCACCTCCTCTGATCTTTTAGCCCCTGTTTCCAGTTCTCCTTCAATATTAAGATGCGGCTGTAAATCTCCCTCCGCACTGTCCCTCAGACTTGCACAGGTTACCAACAGAGCTCAAGTCAAAAAGATTGAGTTACCCGAGGCAGAATCTCCCTCCCTGCTCACCCCATCACCCCTGAAAGTGGTAAGGAAGATGGCCATGGTAGGGAAATAATGGGGCAAGTCATGCCATTGGGAGGAAGTGTCCTGCTTCTAGCCACCTCTAGAATTAAGTGCTGGACAGGAAGGTCAGCTGAGGGGGGAGCTTTCTTGATTTCCCAGCAATAAAGGTGGCAGAGCAGGACCGCACTCCTAAGAGTTTGAGGAGGTGGTAGTGGTGTCCTCTAATTTCCCCAATTTGGGGGCAATCAGAGGCCCTGATCAAGTGGTGTGGGAGGGAAGGCGACTGGGAACAGGGAGGCCACTGAAAGACCCACCCCACCCTTTGGTAAGTGACTTACCTTCTCACTGCTGGATTCCCTGCAGAGTAGGCCTCAACCAGGAAGACTTTAGGGCCCAGTGGCTGCTGGGACGGTGGCGGCTGAGGTCTGGGAAAAGTGATACGTGCGCCTTTGATCTGTCCTAATGAGCTGATCGGTCAGCGGTGGATGACCTTGACGGTGGGGGTGGTGTGATAGTCTTCCCCCTTCACCCCCAACCTGCCCCCAACGAGCTTAAAAAGAAATCAGAAAATCCTGCCCTTGGAGTTGACAGACTATTTGCCTGTTGGTTTCTACCTTGTGTGGCTCTTGTTCCACCATCTCAGCCAATCTCCTTCCATTCTTTACTTCCATAGCCATTTGCCCAAACTGCCCCCTACACCGCTGTTCTCAACACACCATTCCAAATGCATGCTCCCCATTCCTGCCACAGCCATGTGCTTTCTGTAAGAGAATCTCCTGGTTTAGATACATCACAGATAAAGAGTCGAGTGAATTCCCTGCCACATCATCCTCTTGCAATGCCAGGTCATGCAGAGCGGATCAAATTCAGTGTAGGAGCTCCTTCACAATACCCGCAACATAGCAGTCAGTGCCTACAGATTCAGTGAAGACATCCACCAACATCTCCCTGCTGACATTCAGATCAGATGCTAGACTCTTCCAGGTATAAAGGCAGAAGATTGAATGGTATTATTTCAAAGAAGTTATCCCTGGTGTCCTGGTCAATATTGAGCGTCCTTCAAAATCATAATAATAGGCTGCTTCATCATGATCTCGTCTTGTCCTGCTCGGATCTCCCTCATGGACAATATTTCCCCACTTCCTACACCAGTAACCTTCCCACCTCTGAGCAGTTTTGGCTGCCATCATCGAAAGGGCATTTGAGCTGTAGCAACGGAGGGTCGGAGGATTTCAGCTCATGAGTTCATTTCCCACCTTCCAGGGTAGGTAGCTTCAAGGGTGGCATGGTGACTCAGTGGTTAGCACTGGTGCCTCACTGCGCTAGGGACCCGGGTTTAATTCCACCCTCGGGCAAGAGTCTGTGTGGAGTCTGCACATTCTCTCTGTGTCTGCATGGGTTCCCTCCCACAGTCTGAAGACGGGCAGGTTAGGTAAGTTGGCCATGGGAAATGCAGGGTTTTGGAGATAGGGTAGGGGGTTGGGTCTGGGTGGGAGGGTCGGTGTGGATGTGAGGCGCTGAAAGGCCTGCTTCCACACGGTAGGGATTCAAAGGCGTGTTTTTGTAGTTGCATCATTGTTGAACCCTGAATGAGGTGAAGGGAGAGAAGGTGCACTCCATCACCCATTTGTTCCACATATGGACGAAACCCAGAAACTACTGTTCCAAAATAATTCTCTCTGCTCTAGCCAATAAAAACAATTAATGGCAGGATGCTGATTAATGGAAGGGCCCTGTTTATGATGACAATTACTCCGCATTCCACATTGACTGCCAAGCATGTCATAAAACCAAACACTCTGAACAACAAAGGATTGCAAGACATTGCAAATCTACATCAGGTTTCGTTCTATTTCCACTTAGACATTTTTTCTGGTCTCCAGACTACAATTTAACCTTGATGTTTCTTTCTCGTGTGATTTGCATTTGTTTTGGGGTTGGTGGGGGTGAAGCGGGGGGATGGTAGGGGGGTAAGGCTGAAGAGTAATAGCTGGGAATCTGGCCAGATCCAACTGAAAGGCTCACATTTGATGCTAAACGTGTCTCTTCCAGAGGTAATACTGGACACCCGGCCTCCCCTGGCAACATAAGGCTGTGTGAACATGATCTTTTATATACTCTCCCTCATCTGCTCTCAGCACACAGTTGCTAAAGCACCCAAAGGGAATTATTCACCGAGCTCCACCCCTAATGTCTGGGAGCTTTCACAGTCATCAAAAAGAAGGCGATACACTGCATTTCATAGGCAAAGTGGCCCCAGCTCCTTTGAATTTGCTCTGACTCCTTTAGGAATGGTTTTTCTTAGATGTGGGAGGTGCTATCACCACTGGTGTTACAAGAACGTGAGGAATAGGAGCAGGAGTAGGCCATCTGGCCCATCGAGCCTGCTCCTCCATTCAATAAGATCATGGCTGATCTTTTTGTGGGCTCAGCTCCACTTACCTGTCCCCTCACGATAACCCTTAATCCCTTTACCGTCCAAAAATCTACCTACCTTTGCCTTAAAAACATTCAGTAAGATGGCCTCAACTGCTTCGCTGGGCAGGGAATTCCTTAATTCCTGGGGTCACCGGACAATGGTAAGCAATAGGTTCTCCATTGTCTAACTCTGGGGAGATTGAGACCAGTTGCAAGTTGCCCACCACAGATAAGCACAACTTGAGGTGAGATCGCTGGGTAATCCAGCACACAGTTAATTCCATGCCAACTTATCTGTGTGTGTGTGTGTGTGTGTGTGTGTGTGTGTGTGTGTGTGTGTGTGTGCGGGGTGGGGGGGGGGGGGGGGGGTGGTGCTTGGACCAGTCAAAATATCAACTCAGATCAGGGCCCACCAGTGAGCGGACCGTTGGCCTGAGCATGCAGAACACAGGGAGGGCAGAGGGAGGAGGTTCAAGCCCTATTCCAGGTGCAAACTGCAGTTGACGGCCCTGGAGGAGCAGAGAGGGAGCACAGCCCTGTTGGAAGTCCCATCCTGTGGCCCGGCTCGTTCAGCCAACAACGCAGGTCACTGTTTGCAGAAGAACAGCGCCTCCCCTGTGTTGTGGCCATCGTTATATTTCCCCCAACCCGACGTTACGGAGAGAGAATATCTGGTCATTAGCCCCTTCCTGCTTGCAGAATCTCACTGTGCACACAGCAATGGCTGCCCACCCTCAATTACAACAGTGGCTACACACTTCAATAATTAGTTCCTTGGCTCCAGAGCACTCTGGAAGATCCCGGTCGCGAGAGTGACGCCGCACAACGGTAATCAGCTACCCATTGCAGACAGGCCAATGCAAGTTCCTCCTTACCTCCGCCAACTTGTGCCAGTTGAAAGACTTCAGCGGGTGCGATGGCTGTGGGATGGCTTTCTTCTTCATGCTCCCCATCGTCGGCAGGCAGGAGGGGGGTGGCACGGCGCAGCTGAAGAAGGGGGGTGCTCCGGGGGGAGGGGGAGGGGGCCCGCCAGGGGGCAGGGGTGGGGGAGGGGGGGGCAGGAACTCATAGGGGAGGGCCGGGGGCGGTGGGGGCAGCTCGCCCAGGACGGGAGGGGGAGGGGGAGGGAGGGGTCCACCAGGCGGGGGAGGGGGAGGGAGAGGGGGGAAGGAAAGGCCGCTCGTATTCTGAAACAGAGAGAGAAAACAGAGAGAGAGAGACAAAGTCAGGGTTTCTTTCAGAAGCAAAAAAAAAACCAGACTGGCAATAACGCATTATGGTGAAGAGGCACCAGCTTTAGGAGCAAAACCCCTGGAAGGAATTCAGCAGCGTCTGTGAAGAGAAAACACCAGAGTTAATTCCTTCAGACCTGCAGAAGGGTCACTTCACCCGAAACATCAACTCTATTTTCTCTCTCTCCCCGTAGACTCTCCAGACCTGCTGAGCTTCTCCAGCACTTTCTGTTTTCGTCTCAGATTTCCTTTTTTTTACCATCTTCAGGAGTACTGCTTGGGTAAACATTTACCTTTAAGAGACCGTTCAGCCCCTCTGGCCCTGCTTTACTGCATGGGCAGAACAGTAATGGATTTCCGCATTCCTCGCGTTTACACAATTACACAGTTTAAACAGTATTTTCCCATATCCATCCCAACAGGAGAGTCACACATGGTTTATCCTCCAGTACAAGCATGCCACAAAGTGTTCACCGCAAGCCACAATAACCTCATGACGATATAAACTCTTGAAACAGTCTACTGTTGAGCCATTGAGCCAATGACCCGAAGCCATATTTTTTCCCCTTTGCTTCTCCACGTCAGATTAGCGTGTTGGGGTAGCATCCTGGATTTCTTTGAGGAACCCTTCCCTGGAATAGCCTCAGGCACACCACATCATTTTGCTATACAAAACCCTGGTTCAGCCACATCTGCAGTATTGTGTCCAGTTCTGGTCGCCTCGTTACAGGAAAGATGTGGAAGCATTGGAAAAGTTGCAGAGGAGATTTACCAGGATGTTGCCTGGAATGGCAGGAAGGTCTTACGAGGAAAGGTTGAGAGAGCTAGGGCTTTTCTCTTTAGAATGACGAATGATGAGAGGTGACTTGATAGAGGTGTACAAAATGATCAGAGGTATAGATAGAGTGGACAGCCAGAGACTTTTTCCTAGGGTGGAGGTAGCTGTTACGAGGGGGCATAGTTTTAAAGTGAGTGGAGGTAGATATAGGGGAGACGTCAGAGGTAGGTTTTTTACTCAGAGAGTGGTCAGGGTGTGGAATGCATTGCCGGAGAGGGTAGTGGAGTCGGCCTCATTAGGGGCATTTAAGCGGCTATTAGATAGGCATATGGATGATAGTATAAGGTAGGAGTGGAGGTTAGATAGACCTCAGGTTTAGGGTAAAAGTTCGGCACAACATCGTTGGCCGAAGGGCCTGTACTGTGCTGTACTGTTCTATGTTCTATGTTCTATGTCCTATCAGCCATGTCCTGCCTCTGGTCTGACCTGAGGCCTTCCAAAGACCCCGAACCTTCGCCAGAGTGAAGGAATAAACCCTTCGGGATCGCTTACTTTCCCTGGACAGCAGGAGCGGGAGCAGAAGGTTTGAAATGAAAATCTAACGTCTGGCCACTTAGGAGAATGGTAGGATGGTGAGAGCAGTTCCCTGTGCTTGTGCCAGCTCTCTGCAAGAACAACTCTTCCTGGTCACATCTCTTCCCTTTTCCCAAAGCCCAGAAAACCTATCTCTCCGGATGATTATCCAATTGCCCTGGGACCGTGGATGGGTGGATCCCATCCAAAGAAGCCGGTCATGGCTGGTACAATCTCTACGAGTGGATCTCCTGAGAGGTACAAGTGACCTGACTGTCGGAATTTGAGAAGGAGTCTTCAACCTTGAGGGAGGTGGGGGACATGGGATGGAGTGGAATTCTGCTCCTTGGCTACAGCAGTGCGGCAGAAGCAGAGACCAGTGAATCTCTGTATTAGCAGTAATTAGCTCCCCTCACTGGCAAGGAGGACTCCATTGAAGGTCAACTCCCTGAGCTGCAAATTAGGGCGGAAGAACGAGTCACCAAGAAGATCTTGTAGGTGCTGGAAAGCCGACACGATAAACAGAAACGGCTGGAGGAACTCGGCAGGCCTGGCAGCATCTGTGGGAAGAAAGCAGAGTTAACGTTTTGAGTCCGATGAATCATCTTAGTCACTAAACTCAAAAAGTAAACTCTGCTGTCTTCCCACAAATGCTGCCAGGTTTGCTGAGACTCTCCAGCAATTTCTGTTTTTGCCCTTTTCAACAATAATTCCATCAGAATAATAAATTACAGAGGCTTGTTGTTGCTTCCATGTGGTAATTGCTCATAGAATCCTAGTGATAGAATCACAGGTTAATAATCATAATAATAAGAGGACAGGAATTATTGGGAGATGATGGCCTAGTGGCATTATTGCTGGACTGTTAATCCCGCGACCGAGGGAATGTTTTGGGGACTCATGTTCAAATCCCACCAGGGCAGATGGTGGAATTTGAATTCAATAAAAATCTGGAATTAAGAGTCTACTGATGACCATGAAATTGTTGATGGTTGTTGGAAAAATCCATCTGGGTCATTAATGTCTTATAGGGAGGGAAATCTGCCGTCCTCACCTGGCCTGGCCTACATGTGACTCCAGACCTGCAGCAGTGTGGCTGACGTTTCATTGGGCAGTTACGGATGGGCAATGAATACTGGCCTAGCTAGCGACACCCATGTTCCATGAATGCATTTTTAAAAAAAACCTTCTGTGCTATATTGCATGGGGAGTGGAATGCATGGTCAGATGTGAACTAAATCTCCTTTCTACTCCATCATAGCAACACACCACTCTGCAGAAAGCTGGGGAAATGGCAGTTTCTAGCACTGGCAGTCTGTCATTCCTATCTGGGGTCATTAGCTCGGTGAAGAACAGAAGAAACCGGAGTGTTCTCAGATATGGCCCCTCAAACCTGCTCTGCCCTTCAACACAATTGTAACTAATCTTTGATTTCAACTCCTCCCTCTCTTCATATCCTTCGTTTCCAAAGATCTGCTGATCCCAGCCCTAAATATATTCACCGACGAAGCACTCACAAGCCCTCTGGGCTAAAGAGTTTCACGATTGCGCAGTCTTTGGAGTGAAGACGTTTCTCTTCATCTCAGCCCGAAATGATTGTTCCTTTGCTATGTCCCCTCCTTCTAACTTACCCAGTCAGGGGAAATGACCAATGGGCACCGACCTTGTCAGAATTTTGGATGCTTCAACCTCCTACTCTAATAATTGCCAGAGTGTATAAGCCCACCTCACATTATAGGATAACCTTCTTGCTACCAATCTAGCCAACCTTCAACTCACTGCTGTCAATACAGGGCCATCCTTTCTTAGATATGGACAGAAAGAACGTCGTTGGGAGTAATTGGGCTCCAGGCAGCTGAAGGGATCTAACCTTAACTTCTAATGACCTGGGCTGGATTTGAAAGGATGCATGCTAAGTGGACAAACAGATAACCTACACATCATGAGCTCCTGGTCTGGTTTTGATCTCCTGAGAGGGCCAGAGACGAAATCTTCAGATTTTAGCCCCTACCCCACAACCTCTACTGACTTCGAGTTACCTCTCAGTCAGCAGGGAGATGACACAGCACCGAGGGAAAGGGAGGAATTGAAAGATTTCTAACCACAATGGAACAGCTGATAGTTACATGAGCATCACTTTTGGGGAAAGAATAATTAAAGGTCCTCTATAAATCTAGCTCAATGGCCGCACCTGTTCCCTTTAAAGGCTTGTGAAATCTAAAACTGGGATGTCAGTTCAAGGCAGCGTGGCTAATGTCTAGCCACCCTGGGACAGTGTGGGGCGGTAATTCAACTTTGGCTGGATGGGAAAGAGCCAATGAAAGGCCTGAAAACTGGATTTTCGTGTTCGATCTGAGACGACCCCTTTCACACAAGACCGTACGTCCTGTCAAAGTTAGACTTCATGCTAACGACAATCAATGGAACCGTCAGCAGCTCTTCCAAACAAGTGAGCTGATCCCACTGATTGCAACATTCTTTCTTTTGAATGTGAAAAAGAAACAAGAATTTGATTACGCAGAAATGTACAAGAATTCTCGTTCAGAAATTGACCACTCAATCAGTGTTTACATTCCTCATGGGTCTCCTCCTGCCCTACCTCATCTAACCCTTTCAGCGTAGACCTTCATCTATCATCTCCTTATCGAGGTCTCCCTTAAATGCATCTGTGCTATTCACCTCAGCTACTTCTTGTTGGTATTTACATCCGTGGAAATTCTACCTGGCTGTCTCACGTCTCAGCGAGATCCTGATGGGAAATTCCATCTCTTGCAGAATTATGCTACGTCAGATTAATCAAATTCCTCTTTGACTTTACAAATAACATGGCTGTTCTCTTTCCTGTCGGGAACCGTGAGGCATGTGAAACTTTATGTATGTGTGTGTTTTTAAAATGAGGGAAACTTGGCACTAAATATAAGAGAATTGTGCATCATGTAGTATAAATAGTGCTTGCCACGTTGTGTACAAAGATGTTTAACTATGTTGCAAAATATGAAGGACAGTTCCCTTGTTGACAATAGGGCAGCCAATCTTTTTCTCAGGGCATTAATAAAGTGAGTAACTGGTTCACCTCTCTTTCACAGTCTTCCATCATATTCCCGAGTTGTGCCTTGCAGATGGTCAATGAGACAGTCCAGGAAAACTCACTCCTCTCCTCTGAGTAGCATCTTGGCTTCTTTAACATCTGCATGAAGCATAACTTAAAAGTGTCTCCGTTGGTGGGATGGTACTCCTGACGGTGCAGCCTACTGTCAGGGCTGTACTGGTGTTCTGAGCTGGGTTATCTGCTGAATCTCAGAGCACTGAACATACAACCAGCGCCACCATTCATTCATTTGTGGGATGTGGGCGTCGCTGCCTGGCCAGCATTTGTTGCCCATCCCTCAATGCCCTTGAGAAGGTGGCGGTGAGCCGCCTTCTTGAACCGCTGCAGTCCACGTGCTGTAGGTAGACCCACAATGCCATTAGGGAGGGGAATTCCAGGATTTTGACCCAGTGACAGCGAAGGAACGGAGATCTGTCTCCCAGTCAGGCAGGTGAGTGGCTTGGAAGGGAACTTGAAGCTAGTGGTGTCCCCATGTGTCTGCTGCCCTTGTCCTTCTAGATGGAAGTGGTAATGGGTTTGGAAGGTGCTGTCTAAAGTGCTTTAGTGAATTTCTGCAGTGCATCTTGTGGATAGTACACACTGCTGATACTGAACAGTGGTCATAGTGGGAGTGAATGTTTGAGGATTTGCTGCCAATCAATCAGGTTGTATTGTCCTGGATGGTGTCAAACTCCTTGAAAGTTGTTGGGCTGTACTCATCCAGGCAAGGGGGGAGTATTCCATCACACTCCTGACTTATGCCTTGTAGATGGTAGACAGACTTTGGGAAGTCAAAAGGTGAATTACTCGCGGCAGGAATCCCAGCCTCTGTGGTCACTATGTTTCGATGTCTGGTCTCGCTCAGTCTCTGGTCAACGATACCCACCTCAGAATGTTAATAAAGGTGGATTCGATGATGGTAATTCCATTGAATGTCAAGGGGTGGTGGTTAGATACTCTCTTTTTGGAGATGGTCTTTACCTGGTACTTTTGTGTCATGAATGTTACCTGTCACTTTTAAACCAATGCCTAGATATTATCCGGATCTTGATGCTTCAGTATCTGAGGAGTCATGAATGGTGCTGAACTTTGTGCAATCATCAGCAAACGCCCCCATTTCTGACCTTATGATGGAGGGATGGTTATTGATGAGCAGCTGAAGATGGTTGGGCCTAGGACACTACCCTGAGGAACTCCTGCAGAGATGTCCTGGAGCTGAGATGACTGACCTCCAACAAATCCAACTATGTCCTTTATGCCAAACATGACGCCAATCAGCAAAGATTTCCTCTCCGATTCCCACTGACTCCATTTTTGCTCGGGTTCCTTGATGCCACACTTGGTCTTGATATCAAGGGCTGTCACTCTCACCCCACCTCTGGAATTCAGCTCCTTTGTCAATGTTCAAACAAAGGCTGTAATAAGGTCAGGAGCTGAGTGGCCCTGGCACAACTCAAACTGGACGTCACTGAGCAGGTTATTGCTGAGCAGGTACTGCTTGATAGTATTGTTGAGAACACATTCCATCTCTTCACTGTTGGTTGAGAGTAGACTGATGGGGCAAGTTGGATTTGTCCTGCTTTTAATTGCAGGACATACCTCGACAATTTTCCACATTGTCAGGTAGATGCCAGTGTTGGAACTGTACTGGATCAGCTTGGCTAGGGGAGCGGCTAGTCCTGGAGGTCAAATCTTCAATAAATGTTAGCCTAGCCAGCAATACACCCATTCTACAAATGGGTTTGGATTTACATCCCAGTGCAGTACTGAGGGTGTACCACTCTGTTGAAGGTACTGTCATTTGCATGAGGCATTAAACCAACTCAAATAAACATAAAAGATAACATTTTAATATCGAAGAAGTGGAAAGGAGTTCAACTGGTATCCCAGAAAACATTTAATATTCAAAAAACGCTTAAAAGGCATGAAAGAGAAATAGAAATTGCTGAGAAATTCAGCAAGTCTGGCAGCATCTGTGGAGAGAAAACAGAGTTAATGTTTCGTTTTAACCCTTCTTCAGAACTGATGGCAGCTGGGAAGAGGTGGTATATGCGTTGAACGCTGAACCGGGCTTGGGAGGGTTGGTGCAAAGGACAGTGGTGGAGCCCACTTAAAATACATGATCTGGTCAGAATTGTGGATGAGGATTATCACGTTGCTAACTCTGCAACAGTGACCACACTTCAAGAGTACATTTTTGGCTTCAGATTGCTTTAGGACAGCGTGTGATCACGCATGCAAGTCTAGGTCATCTGAAATCTGTCTTGCCAACAATTAACGACAACTCCCTTTGGAGCATTCGGAGTAACGCACTTTCCTTTAAATGGGGTAGCACTGGGATCTCGAAGGGGCACGAGCTAATAGCAGCTGGAAGGACTTACTGAGTTTGTCAGTTCGTTCAGACGGACAGAGAGTTCCACCACTTGATCCCTTGTTTGGCGCAACTCTGCGGACTCTTTCTGGAGCTTGTCCTTCATCTTATTGAGAGTTTTCATCATGTCATCCTTCTCCTGAGTTTTGGTCTCGCACTCCCTCTCCTTCTTCTCAAGCCTTGCCAGTAATTCCACGTGTTCTGCCCACAAAAAAAGACAATCACATGCTCGTGTGTGCGCCAGGCAGACAGCCATGCCACGTTTGACCCCTGGCATGCTCCAATAGGGGGCTCGGTGGCATGAGCAAAAACCATAGCGTCTTAAATATCGGGATTCCTCACAAAACAGAACAAATAATCCCCCAATAAAATCGGTCGCCCACCAGTTGCAAATCCCATCAAACTATCATTCCATCGAAAATAAATGGGGGTGAAAATACAGTTACTATGCACTCTACCCTGGAGTTTTCAGGAATTAAACTCTAAGACAGAGCCACCAGTAACTCAAGGGAAATACTGGGAAATATTGCACTCTATATTTAAAATACATAAAAATTAAGTAGTTTCTAAAATATTGCATTTGGTTTCTTTCTCTGTGAACATTCTCCAGATTTGGAGAGAGAATAATGGTCTGCAAATGCAGTGCAAGTGAATGTTTTCAAATGTGGGTTTGAGGCTGGTGGAAACAGAAGGTCTTATGATGAAGGTCCATGGCTGACAGCCCTTCAGAAATGGTTCTGTTATGGGTGAGCAACCAGCTCTGCCAGCTTACTACCAAAGGTGATAATGCTGATGCTATGCCAACCATGATGCCTTTGGTGTTAGTTGGGAACACTCTGCTCCACTGCACACCATAACTTTGCTAAGGCCATCTGAAACCACTACCTGTTGAATGAAATGATTGTAATGAAATCTATTATTTAAGGCTGAGGGACAAAATCAAGTGAAACAGGTCCTTCAGTCCATCTCAGTAAGAGGGATGACCTTATTAAAGCATGCGAGGTTCTTAGAAGGAATCACGGAATTGTTTATGGGGCAGATGGAGGCCAATCAGCCCATCATGTGTGTGCAGGCTTCTCAAATGAGCATCACTATTTATGCCCTCTACCCTTGCACATTATTACTGACAGGGCAGATGCAGAAAAGTTGCTTCATCTTGTGGAAGAGTCCAGGACCAGAGGACGTAATCTCACAATAAGGGATCACATGTTCAAGACAAAGATAAGGAAGCATTTCTTCTCTCAGAAGGCACTGAATCTGTGGAATTCTCTACCACAGAGGGCTGTAACAGTTGGATGTTAAATATACTCAAGACTGAGACTGACGGATTTCTATCAGTAAAAGAATCAAAGGTTATGGGGAAAAGGCAGCAAAGTGGATTTGAGGATTATCAGATCAGCCATGATCACACTGAATAGCGCAGCAGAATCAATGGGCTGAATGTCTTATGTCTTATGGTGTCATGGTTTAAGTTGTACAACTCAGTGAGTTGCTGTGATTTGCAATGCACAGTCTGAAAGTGAGGTAAAGCAAATTCAGTAACAATCCTCAAAGGGGAATTTAAGGAACACGCACAAAAGAGAAGAAAATGCAGGATTGTGGAAAAGTGTAGGATGTATTGAGTCACTCTTTTAAAGAGCCAATACAGGCAATGATGGGCTGGTACCTCCTCCTACTGCGCTGTAGTTAATTTAATCATAGGTACACCCGCTTTCAGAATGGAGCCAGCACCATCCAAACTGTTAACAGGATAGTGAGGGTATTAACCCTTCCTGAGGCTGTTTCTAGCTCATTCAAGCAAGTGAATGCAGTGAAAATAGTGCACAAACCCATTTGTATAAGGGCTGCCTCTCACTTTGCTCAGTCCAGGGAATCTGTAACACTGGTCAAGGAAGATGAAATAGTCAAAAAAAAACGCCAAAAGAAATGTGTTTACCATCAAAAACCAAGCTTTTGGTGATACTGTCTATTGCTTGGTCAACTGGCAACAGTCTTATTTCTTAACGAAATGGATAGACAAGTTGGATACAAAAACTATCACGAAGCAACCTTCAGACAGGTCCTGGATGAGATAATCTGAGGGGAACTGTAACACCATAATGATACTGGAATCATGATATGGAACAACAATGTCAACGGCAAATATAAATAAAAGTAGAAAGGGCTGGAGAACTCAACAGATCTGTGGCAGTATCTATGGAGAAAGCGATAGGTTCACATTTCGAGTCTGATAGGACTCTTGTTTGGAAACTAAACTGAGTGGACTCAATGTGAACTCTCCTTTGCTTTCCACCAGATGCTTCCAGACTTGCTGGTGTTTCTCCAGTACTTTCTGTTTTATTTTCAAATGACCAGCGTTTGTAGCACTTTGCTTTTGTAACTGTGTTAACCACGTCCGCATAAAATTCTGTCTCGGCAATCTTACCTTTCCTGAACTTTTCTGCTTGATCCTTCCACTGCTTCACTTCATTTTCATTCACCAGCCTGAAGATATTAAAAAGACTTTCATTTCCATTCAGTAGATCTGTCATCCACTACAGTTAAAAATTCAATGTGACCAAACCTTATGGGCGATGGCTGGTACAACACAGAAGGTGGGGGAAGTGAACAGGAGATTGGATGGACCATTGGGAAGAAGACGCTATCTTTCACTGAGGAAATGGGTTGAGATCACATGGGGAGTGCGAGTCACGATGACAATACACACATTGTGACCTGTGTTTAAGGATGGTGGATGGTCCAACTTTTTTTCCATCTCTTGGCTGGCTAGGAATCTCTCCTGCTTTTCCCACCTGGCATTAGCCTGTGATAAGGTTTTGGAGGTCGATAACCAACCCCATTATGAACATACTTTCCTTGACCATCAAGGCCTGTAAAGGGATTCAAACCCAAGAGTTTCTGCCTCAGGGGGATGTAGCCGACTGCACCCCAACACCTCACAGCACTAATTATGAATTGTATCATTGGAGGTCAGGTATATACTCAGTAGACTGAATGAACTGATTGACTGGTTACTTGAGTGCATACGAAGAAGCACTTATTGACATGGGGTGTGGGTCTTGTGAGGAGGTTAAAAACTGTAATGTAGCACAGTTGCGATTCAATCTGCAACTCTGTGAATATATCTATTGCAAATAAAAACTACCTCTTGTGCCTTCCTTCACCCACTGGCTATCAGTCAGGGAATATTAAGTTGTGGATGAAGTGTACAATCTCACTGAGAAGGGAGTTTGCGTGTTAATGTACTTTCAGACCCTCAAAACTCTCTTTGGGATGTTGGATTCCACATGAGAAGAACAGACTCCTCATGGGGTATGTCCTTGAAATGGGCATGGGCTGAAAGGTTCCCCATTTATTGCAAAAGGAATTGAATACAAAAGTAGGGAGGTTACACTTCAATTGTACAGGGCACTGGTGAGAAATGTCTGGAGTACTGTGTACACTACTGGTCGCCTTATTTAGTGAGAGATGGAAATGTGTGGGAGGTAGTTCAGAAGAGATTTGCTAGAGTGAGCAAACTGTCTTTGAGGGAAGATTGGACAGGCTGGGCTTGTCTTCGCTGGGAAATCCTGAGGTGGATGTGGAGAGGATAGTCCCCCTTATGGGACAGTCCAGAACTGGAGGTCACTGTTTAAAAATTGGATGGTTGCTCAGTTAAGACAGTGTTGAGATTATTTTATTTTCTCTCTAAGGGTTGAGAGCCTTTGGAACTCTCTTCCTGTAAAAGCAGTGGAATCCTTTGAACCCTTTTTAACGCAATGGTAGATCATCTCTCATTAACCAAGAATTTGCAGATTTATCAGGGACATTTGGGAATGTGGAACTGAGGTTATTATCAGCCATGATTTTTTTGAGTCATGGCTTGAGGGCCTGAGGGGCTCTGACTTTTAATTCAGAAGTTTGTACTTACTTATTGGAAGTTGGCACATTTTCCAGGTGGTGAAATTTGGCACTTTGCATTATTTTCCTCACTCTTTCTGCCTGCTCTCAGCTCTCGCTGAGTATGGAACATCAGGGGGAAGAGGGTTAGGGGGCCAGTCAAAGCAGCAGGACCCCTGGAGACAAGCTCTTCCTCGTTCTCACACGGGTTGATAATGATGGGTGTTGTGGGCCTTGATCAAGGAGTAAGCAATTCTGTAAAAAAACTGGCAGCAAGCGAGCCGGGAGAGATCAGGAGAGGTGACCAGGTGCGCTGTAATGGAGGAGGGTGGTGCAATCAGGAAGCAAGGTTTCAGGGAGAGAATTCCAGGGTGGTGAGCCTCAGCAACTGAAGGAGCGACAACGAGTGGTAGAAAGATGGATAATGGAAGAGCCGCAGGAGGGCGGAATAGAGGAGGACTGAGTTGTCAGAGGGTTGTAGAAGGAAACAGAAGAGACTGGGGGCAGTGACACTTGGTAGGAGTTGAAAAAGAGGGGGAGGATTTTTAATCTCTAAATGGTTTTTGGGACCAAGAACTATTGTAGTTTGGCGAACACAGGGGTAAAGGGGAAAAACACCCAGGGATCTTCCCGGCTCAATCAATGAACTCTTTTTAATGGGTACCACGGTAATAGAAGAGGGCTAGACACTCGCTCCCCAGTGTGAATGAGTCTCATGCAATGCTCACATCCGAATGATGTTCTTCACATTAAAGTTCTCCAATGGTGCGACGTCAGGATCCTCCCCTTTCTCGTCCTGCAGCACTATCTGTTGCAGTATTCTGTCGAGGAGTTGCCAATGCTGGCTGTTGGTCCCGTTCCTCTTCCCTGAAGGGGCATTTCAGAATCAAAAGTACGGTTAGAAATGTTCACCAATGAATACTCTTCACGGACTGAGACTCAGAAACATCGCGAGGAAGGATCGGTACAAAGACGCGGAATGGTGAGAGGGCCAAAGAAATAAACTGCGGAGGGAGTCCAGAACAATAAGTATACTGTTGTCCAGGGTAGGTGTGATATTAGCAAACACTTTCTCATTGCAAAAAGTTGTGGAAATTTGAAACCCTGTTTCCCAAGAAAGCTAATGAGGCTGATGGAGCAGGGGGAGCCATTTTCCTTCGGAATGGATATCGGAAGAATTGTGTTCAGCATGAGGGCAGTGATTGCAATGAGATCAGCCAGCTTGACCTCATAGAATGTGAGTTCCCTGATTGGGGCTGTTAATCTGGTTTAATCAGGAAGCCCTGGCTGACATAAATTTCAGGGACACTGATCCCCTGAATGCCTGACTCAGTGAGAGGCAGTGCTATTGTCAAAGGCTGTGCATTTGTAAGTAAAGGGCAGTTGGTGATGGAATGTCAGCCTCTGGAGAGTTATTTTAGCCAGGGTTGAGGTATATGGAATCGACATGGATAAAAGGAATTACGGTGTAGGGAACAGGTTGGGGTGAGGTTGGGGAGAGGTGCAGGGATTTTAAAAGGGTACTTCCTGCTTCTCTGTTTCACGGAGGCATCCTGTCAGCTCTCTGAGGCTGACCCCTCTTTGACAATCCTCTGTGTAATCAGTGGATCCCAGCCTGGCCAACACCCCTTTAACCTCTACACTCTACGCATTGTTTGATTCAGCAGCTGCAACTGAAATTAATGGTGGAAAGGGCAGGCGATAGCGGCAGAATGTGTAACTCGAGGATAAGACAGCGGCATTTGATATCCTTGGACAGAAGAAGTGAAGGCTCATCCAGCGTTTATAGTGAGCAAGGATTTCTATTTGAACGTACATCTGCTGAATACATTTTCCACTTATTGCAATTGGAAAGTGCACCCCAGGGCATTCCATTGAACAGAGCCTGATGAACAGCGTGCGATCATTCATTCATCACTCAGACTGAAATGTAAAATAAACAATACGTTGCCTGCAAACTGAGATACATCACACGGGTGGGGGGGAGGGCACTTAACAAATGTGTCTTGCGTGAGAATGTTCAATGAGCACGAGCAGGGAGCGGGCTAAATAATCCACGGCAAATCTAGCACCAATCTCCACGGTCTCACCTAGCAATAACATCTATTAAATTACCTTCCATGGTAACGCGTCTGATATTCCCCCCTCGAACCTCAGAAAATGGTGGTGAAAGAGATTCGCCTATCTTCAATATCTCCCTCATATTGCAACAACTGGTGGTTTAGGGCTTACAGAAACATCTCGTCTTTCTACCCTGGTGAAGTGACACTGTGGAAGCCGGTTTCCTGTTGATTTTCTGAGTTAAGTCCATTTTAGACCAGCTTTTTGCAGAGGTGCCCTTACTTCAGGGTCAAATAGCCATGCATTATTGAACGGTCAGCCATCTGCACCCCCTTCCCCAGCTGCACCCCTTACGCCATCCCATCATGCCCGCAACATGAAGGTTGGAGAGAGACACTGCGGAAGGATCCCAGCATCTCTGTAACTCAGAGTAAGTCATTGCACTCAGGAACTAAGTGGTAAACCACTTGCTGAAGGTTCACTTGTGCAGAGATGGTTACAGAACTATAGTAACTTTCCCTTCCTTAAGTCTGAACGCCCAACACTCCATCCATAACTGTGGTAGTCTGTGTCGCTAAATCTATCTGTCTCTGCTTCCTAAATAACAGTTTTCACGCAGTGTAAGCGATGCTTCCAATTTTGGATCAGACTATAACTAAAGGACATAAATTTATGGTTACAAGTTAATCCACTGGGGAATTCGGTAGAATCTTTTCAACCAAGGGTCAGTTAAGCTGTGGAAATTGCCAACATATTTCTTAGGTAACAAAAACACAAGTTGCTGGAAAAGCTCAGCAGGCCTGGCAGCATCTGTGAAGAAAAAATCAGAGTTAACGTTTTGGGTTGGGTGAAACTTCTTCAGAAGCTGAAGGACGACGGGAAATGATAGTCTTTATGCAGTTGACAAAGAGTGAGGGTGTCCATATCTATTCCACTCTCTCCTCCCTGCTCTTTGTCAATACCATAAAGACCATCGTTTCCCATCGTCCTTCAGTTTCTGAAGAGTTAGATGGGACTCAAAACATTCACTCTGTTTCTCTCTCCACAAGACACCACCAGAGCTGCTGAGTATCTCCAGCTGTTTGTGTTTTTATTTAAGACTTCCAACATCCGCAGTATTTTTGCTTTCACTATAGAAAAGAAGTTCGACAATCCATCAGCTCCACATTCATCAGTACTGATGCCAGTAATTCATTAACTGAATTTAACTTTCCCAACTACTGCATGTTGGTTGGAGATGTGACTCTGGATTTGTAGTCTTACAATCACAATGCTACTGTAGCCCTGGAGTAAGTGAATTAAGTAGCGTGGGTGCATTTAAAAGTAAAAAGGATCTGTTGATAGCCATAGACAAGGTTGTACGATGGGCTGAATAGGTTTTTTTCTACATAGTTCTCCGAGCAAGAAGGACCTCTTAGAATTTATTGAACAGTCCCCACATTGAAGGTTCAATGAGTATGGCTGAACCATATCACTCCACAAGGTCCTGAATTCAAAACCTTTATTCTCTCAAGTTAACTGATCTCATTCAAATTAGCATGAAGTGCTTCAATATCTGTCTGTACATCTGTCTATTGCTATCTACTGCAATCTCTTCTGAGCCTGTATCATCACCTCAATGCCTCTGACTGCATTTGACAGGCTGCCCTCCCATCCCCACCTGGGCTTCTAGCTGCCTCCTCGCCAATGGAACTCAGACGCTGAATATCGACGCCTTCCTCTGAGCCTTCTCAAGACCCTTGTGTTTCACTGGCCATTCTTCCAAACCACCTTTCCTTCCAAATTTAGCAACTGTTTGTCTTCTGTCTACTGGCTGTTTTTGTTCGTTTTATTTTTACTCATACATGGGATGTGTACCAGAGTTTCTCTTTGACCTGGGTGCCTTGCTAGGTGCATTTTAATGGGCAATTAAGAGTAAACCTCATTGCTGTGGGTCTGGAGTCACGTGTAGGCCAATCCAGGTAAGGATGGCAATTTTCCTTCCCGAAAGGACATCAGTGAACCAGATGGGTTTTTACAACAACCATCAATGATTATATGGTCACCAATACACCAGCGTTCTTTAATTCCCATTTTTAATTGAATTCAAATTTCACCATCTGATGGGATTCAAATCTATGTCCCTGTAGCATTAACCTGCCCTCTGGATTACTAGCTAGTGACATTACCATTATGCCTCCCTCCATTAATTATACTAGAACCTGTCATTCCATTTCAAAGGAGGATGTGAAATTTAAAAAACCAAGAAGAACTGCAGATGCTGGAAATCAGAAATTGCTGGAGAAACACAACAGGTCTGGCAACATCTGTGGAGAGAAAGCAGAGTTAATGCTTCAGGTCCCATTCCGAAGAATGGGTCACTGGACCTGAAATGTTGACTCTGCTTTCCCTCCACACATGCTGCCAGACCTACTGAGTTTTTCCAGCAATTTCTGATTTTATGCGTGAAATTCAAACTTCCATTTGACCATATCTGGAAGATGCTTGATGGCCTGGCTTCAGTCCACTCCACCTCTATTGTAAGTCATCAGGATTCAGGAGAGAATGCAGTTCAAATGAGAATTCCACTCACAGGGCATTTGGAGGCAGTGCTGGAGGACAGATACCAAATGTGGGTAGGCTTCCGTATGACTCAGCTTTTTCCGAATCAACTCGAACATCTGGCTTGTGCTCCTGGTGTCAATATGCACCTGGACAATAGAGAGATTAAACTGCGTCTCAGTACATTATAGTGCACGCACATTTTTAGCACACCTCACACAAGTATCAGACGACAAGTACCTTAACAACTTGCATGTAGTATTTTTAACACAGGAACATTATCAAACAAAATCCACGAGTGAACCACATTGGAAGCTAGTAAATAGCGGTGATGTTGGCAAGGTAACCAAGGGTTTGAACAAAGAGAAGTACGGCACAGGAACAGGCCCTTCGGCCCTCCAAGATCAGAGAGGCACATATTACAGTGCATCTTATAGAAAGGAAACAGCCAGGGAATGGAAATAGATTCCAGAGCTAAAACCAGAACAACCAAGAGTGCAGCAATTAAAACAGAGATTGGTCAAGAGGCCAAATGTGGAGGACGACAGGTATCTCAGAGGAGTGTGCTGCTGGAGGAGATGATGGACACAGGGAGGGATGGAGCCAAATTAGAAGATACTAGAGTGGGGATTGTGGTGTCACACTCGAACAAATGGATGCATTAATCTAAAGGTAACTGTTATAACAAACCGTTGTAAAGAATATCATAATGCAAGCTAATGGTTAAAGAAGAATTATCACCACTGCCTACACAGATTAGCTAGGGTTGTGCCATGACCTTGCCAGCAATGCCAGGGTCTTGAGAATTATATCATTTTGATATATGCTCCTGACAGAGCAGAGTTTCTACTTAACTCATAAAGCTGCCAATTTTAAGCTGAACAGTAATTCCTTAAGGGGCAGCATGCATTGAGTAAGAAGCTAAGCTGTCACTGAAGTTCAGTGACCAGAGATATTACCACTGAACTGGCGTGGACTGCTGCAGTAGTTAGAAAGGACTCAGGTTGTTTAGGCTTGTCAATGAGACAGTCTACAGACGTCAAAGAGCAAATTAAATGTGCCTTGGCTCATCCGGAATTGCAGAGATTGCTGGTTCTTCAGAGTCTTTGAGGAGACAGACTCAGCAAGCAAGCAGACAAATCGTTGTTGAGTGTTGCGGAATACAGAGAAGAGGTAGATCAACGGAGTCATGATATAGATAGAGTAAAGTTGCCATAGGTCTGCTCTCTCGTTGGAGAGAGAGATGACTGATGGTGATTTAATCTGAGAGTCACCATGCCTCAGGCAAGGGGTGAGGTTGAAAAGGCAGGGCCTTCATGGTGATCTCAGTTGATGCAGGAATCAAGCCCATGTTGTTGGCAACTGTACGTTGTAAACCAGCTGTCCAGCCACTGACCTAACAGACTCTACTTGTGATACAGATAAACCACGTTCTAACTGGTATAATAGGTACAAGGAGTTCAATGTCCTACTCTTGGGTCCAAGGATCCTGTAGATTTTCAGGTTTTAGTTAGTCTTGGTGCTTACATTTCAAGCAATTGCTGATTAGTGACTCCATTTTGAAGACACATTTGTACAACCAGCCATCTCAAGGAGAAGCATTCCCTTTGAAACTGCTACTTTCTTCATTCACCGAAAAGCATTTCACTCCTGACTGTCATTTAGAAATATATACAATGGCCAAGCAGAGTCATCTTGAAGGGGAAATCACAATGTTACAGTTCTTTGAGGAGGTAACAAACAGGATAGATAAAGGGAGATAGTCGATATAATAGATTTGGATTTTTAGAAGGTATCTGATAACCACACATTGGGTTACTTAATAAGATGGGAGACAAGGTGACTGGGTAGTACATGAGCATAAATAGAGGATTGACTAACGAAAAGAAGATAAAGTTGGGATAAGGGGGGCATTTTCAGGATGGCAACCTGTACCAAGTGGAATGCCACAGGGATCAGTGCTGGGGTCACAATTATTTACAATAAATTAATGGTTTAGATGATGAAAGTGAATGTACTGTAGCCACGTTTATGGATGACAAAAATAGGTAGGAAGACAAGTGGTGTATACTGTGGGAAATGTAAGGTTATGCACTTTGGCAGGAAGAAGAGAGCTGAATATATTTAACAGAAGAAAGACTGCAGAAAGCTACAGCACTAAAGGATTTGGGAGACCGATCACAGAAAATTAGCATACAAGTTCAGCAGGTAGTGGAGGGTGGAAATAGAACGTTGGCATTTAGTTTAAAGGAAATTAAATATAAAGATGGGGATGTCTTGCTTATACAAAGCACTCATCAGACCACAGCTAGATTACTGTGAACAGTTTTCGGTCGCTTATCCAAGGAAAGATACACTGCCATTGGAGGCAGACCAGAGAAAGCTCACTAGGTTGATCCTGAGTATGGAGGGAATATCTTATAAGGAGACATTGAGTAGGTTGAGGAGTTTAGAAGAATGAGTGGCAATCTTACTGAAACATACAAGATTCTCAGGGGACTTAACAGAGGAGGTACAGAAAGGGTGTTTCCCCTTGTGGGACCTGAGGACAAAATCTCAGAATAAGTCAGAAGTCGCACGACACCAGGTTATAGTCCAACAGGTTTATTTAAAATCACAAGCTTTTGGAGCACTGCTCCTTCGTCAGGTGAAGTGCAAATTAAGTGTGCCTTGGCTCAAACCAGAATTCCAGAGATTCCTGGTTCTTCTGAGTCTTTGAGGAGACAGACTCAGCAAGCAAGCAGACAAATCTTTGTTGAAGTGTGAGGAATACAGAGCAGAGGTACATCAATGGAGTCATGATACAGTCTTCACCTGACAAAGGAGGAGCGCTCCGAAAGCTTGTGATTTCAAATGAACCTGTTGGACTATAACCTGGTGTCGTGTGACTTCTGACCTTGTACCACCCAGTCCAACCCCGGCACCTCCACATCATGGCTCTCAGAATAAGGAGTCACACATTTCAGACACAGATGAGGAGGAATTTCTTCCCTCAGTAGGTGGTGTGTCTGGGTTGTTATGTGTAATCAGGGCTGGGAGAGACAGAGTTTTATTCAATAAGGGAATTGAGGGCCATGGGAAAAGGCAGGAAAGTGAAGTTGAGGATTATCAGATCAGCCACGATCTCATTGAGTGTTGGAGCAGACTCGATGGGCTGAATGGCCTTCCTCAACTCCAAAGTCTAATGGTGTTCTGGTTACAAAATAGGCAGCTGCTGGTATAATAATGAAAATCCCGATGTGCGAAACACCTTATTTTGAAAATCTGTGATGGCAGGTGATACTTGACTTGTCACTAGGATCCCCGAATTTACAGATGCAGGATTGTCACTCACCATGTCAAGCCGTTTCGCAAGTTCATTCTCATCCTCATTTCTGACCATCTCAAAGAAGTCTAAGTGCCTGAACACAAAGAAAAAATGCTCAATTGTCAGCACTCTAAATCTATCCTGTCCAACATTCCTGCTTTTGACCAAAGCCCTGGGCATATTGCTTCTTAAGAGCTGTGGGTGATGTGACTGATGAGTGCAACAGGATAAACAGATTGAAAATAACTCTTTCATCCAAAACAAGGAGACAGAAATCCTGGAATTCCTCTTCATGAAGAATTGTGCATGATAGACCAAATGGTCTCCTTCTGCATCAGAGCATCTGTGACCCTGTGAGAATGTGGAACATACGCTCCCTTAAGATAAAGTCAACTTCACTGTTTAATGGTTATTTATAAAGGGTGAGTTTGGGGGCTTTTTCTTTTTAATTCATTCATGGGATGTGGACACCACTGACGGTGTCAGAGTTTATTGCCCATTGAGAAGGTGGTGATGAACAGCTTTCTTGAACAGTCCCTTTGGCATGGATAACAGTCCCTTTGGCCCACAATGCCTTTTGGAAAGGACTTACAGGATTTTGACCCAGCGACACTGCAGGAATGGCAATATATTTTCAAGTCAGGATGGTTGATGGCTTGGAGGGAAACTTGTACGGAGTGGTGTTTCACTGTATCTGCTGCCCTTGTCCTTCTCGATGGTCACGGTCATGGGTTTAGAAGGTGCTGTCTAAGGATAGTTGGTAAATTTCCGCAGTGCACAGGTGGTGTACACTGCTACTACTGAGCATCAGTAGGGAAGGGAGTCAATATTTGTGGATGTGGTGCCAATCAAGCGGGCTGTTTTGTCCTGGATAGTGTCAAGCTTCTTGAGTGTTGTTGGACCATTACCTGTCTAATGTTGCGTTCTCGTGGTTTCGCAATTTATCAATCACGGGTTGGATTCCTAACATGAGAAACTCATATCGGAGGTGCAGTCGGAATTCCAGATTGTCCTGTATAGGGAAATGAAGACATTATTAAACCCTGGTACATCACAGTAGCTCAGCACATTCCTCCACAGTCGACAACAGTTTTTACCCTTCTATCCCTCTGGACAATTTTGTGTTATTGAGGTGCAGGCAGTCAATATTCTTCTACAGTTTAGCGTGTGGCTCAAAGCCACTTACAATACTCCAGCTTAGATCAAAATCAGTGGTTTAGAAAGTTGAATTTAACTTCCAAGCTGCTGTAGTCTCTATTTACAATGTGTAGGTTTGCAAAGTCTAGAGAGCACTCTCTCCCACTTCCACACCTTTATTCTGCACCCATTTTATGTCTTTCTTTCTCTTTCACTACCATTGACAGCCCCTTTGTTTTTTGCATGGAGATCTGCCCTCGTCATTGTCACCACCAAAATGGATTACCTGGTCGTCATCACATTGATGTTTGTGGGACCATGTTAACTGCCTTAACAGGAAAGATGCTTTGGGAATGTGAAAGGGCGCTAAATAAATAATAAATCTTAGTTGGACATGGGTTCTCTGGTAGTTTTCAGCATCACTCCATATGGCACTTTATTTCTGTATGTTTCACGGCAAAAATGAGCCGCCATTCCGAAGCCATATGAAGTGCTTGGAGTAGGTTATATTGTCTGGTGTAAATTAGTTTCAAAGTTGAGACTCCCCTCTACAAAGAGTCCTGAAACACATTTAAAATTGCTCCCCGATGATACAGGCCTTGAAAAGTTACTGAGAAAGCACAGAGACTTGCTGCTTGAAAAGAGTCGATGCCCAGACTCCTTTTTCAAAATGGGTACACCAGGATTGACAAACTTTTGACGCACAGTTGGTGGGGAGGGCACAGTTAAATGTCGAACCTTGAGCCACAAGCTATACTTCCAGCTGCTTGTCAGACAAACCCCATTGTAAACACTGAGATTTTCTCAAAGATAGTAGGAACTGCAGATGCTGGAGAATCCGAGACAACAAGGTGCAGGGCTGGATGAACACAGCAGGCCAAGCAGCATCATAGGAGCAGAGAGGCTGACGTTTCGGGCCTAGACCCTTCATCAGAAAAGGGGGAGGGGAAGGGGGTTTTGAAATAAATAGGGAGAGAGTGGGAGGCGAATAGAAGAGGGATAGAGGAGAGGATAGGTGGAGAAGAAACAAACAGGTCGAAGAGGCGGGGATGGGGCCAGGAAAGGTGAGTGTAGGTAGGGAGTTAGGAAGGGGATAGGTCAGTCCAGGGAGGACGGACAGGTCAAGGGGGCGGGATGAGGTTGGTCGGTAGGAGATGGAGGTGCGGCTTGTTTGCATTGATGGTTAGACTCCTTACTTAATGAGTGGTGAGTTGAGACCCCCTGGTTAGAATGGATTTCAATGCTTAGACTTTCTGTTTCGAAGGCAGTGATACTGAAGGCATCACTTTTAAGATGGGATAAATGCAGAAAATGTGAAAAAGACTCCAAAGGTGTGCTGGGTATGTGGGGACAGAAACAGTTTTAGCCTTGCAACCACTGCCAGTTCAGACAAGAGACTGACTTGTAAGGGTTAACTCTGCCCTTTCTCAGCAGATAATGTCAAGCATTTCTCTGGCCTTGCGTCTTATCATGATATTTCATTTTAAAGCAGTGATAACTTGTGTTCCAATAAGTGTCCCGGTGGTGAAATATTGAATGTCACTGAATGATCAAAGCTACATTCTTGGGATTTGCTGCCCCCATTGTTTAACCCATGGAGGTTGTGTTTGTTCACTTGAGGTTCATCACTCAGTCAGGCTTTGAACCATGAATAGCCAGTCAGAAAACACAAGCTAGGCTGTGTAACATTACGGTATGGAGCATTGCCTGAAATCTTAACTCTGTTTCTCTCACTCTCTCTCCCTGTCTCTCTCTCTCTCTTTCGCTTTCCACAGATGGTGCTGAAGTTCCTGAGGTTTTATAGCATTCTCTGTTTTTACCGTTAGTGCAGCATTAGCTGGGAGACTGCCTTCAGCTTACCTCTCCAGCACCAGCATTTAACACGGCATTGATGAAGGACATTATTGCAGTTTTGAGGTGCACTTCATCCCTGTACTTTCCAGTACTTCTGTCCAGCTCATTAAGTAACGTCTAAAATAGAAAGAAAAAGCCTTTGAGCTTACATGTGTTTGAACATCATCCAAAGTTTTTTTAAATCCTGATTCTGTATCTGGGAGGTTCTTCTGCTGCCCATTATGTGCAGGTACGGTAGAAGCTAAAGCAATAACACAATAAACCAGACGTTGCATTATCTGTACCATGTTCACCAAACTTTTGATCGCATGTCCTGATATCTCCGTATGTTTGATAACATGTTTGATAATTTTGTTTGATAACATTCCTGCAAAACACCTCAGTGTGCTTCTGTGGATTAAAGAAGTTCAGATTGGCCTCCCTCGTTTCTCTGACAATTCTACAACTATGATTTTATTGTGGGGGTAAAGGTGCTACATAAATGCAAGTATGCAAATACATTGCTGCAAATTCCAACCATGCCATTGCAAATTAGGAATGGACTGTGGGCTAGCACAAGACAAAACAGGCATCAAAGCTGACAGGTTGTCAGAAAAGTCTAAACAGGAAAGGAACTGGTCAATTGTTAACTTGTCTGGTCAACTCCTGTCCGACTAAAACGAAGCTACTCACATCTCAAGCAGAAGAACATATAAGAACATAAGAACTAGGAGCAGGAGTAGGCCATCTGTCCCCTCGAGCCTGCCCCACCATTTAATAAGATCATGGCTGATCTTTTTGAGACTCAGCTCCACTTACCCGCCCACTCACCATAACCCTTAATTCCTTTACTGTTCAAAAATTTATCTAGCCTTGCCTTAAACACATTCAGCGAGGTAGCTTCAACCGCTTCACTGGGCAGGGAATTCCACAGATTCACAAACCTTTGGGTGAAGAAGTTCCTCCTGACCTCAGTCCTACATCTGCTTCCCTTTATTTTGAGGCGATGCCCTCTAGTCCTAGTTTCACCTGCTAGCGGAAACAACCTCCCTGCCTCCACCTTATCTATTCCCTTCATAATCTTATATGTTTCTATAAGATCTCCCCTCATTCTTCTGAATTCCAATGAATATAATCCCAGTCTACTCAGTCCCTCCAACCCTCATAATCCAACCCTCTCAACTCTGCAATCAACCAAGTGAATCTCCTCTGCACCCCCTCCAGTGCTAGTATATCTCTTCTCAAGTAAGGAGACCAAAACTGCACACAGTACTCCAGGTGTGGCCTCACCAGGACTCTATACAGCTGCAGCATAGCCTCCCTGTTTTTAAACTCCATCCCTCGAGCAATGGCAGACAAAATTCCATTTGCCTTTTTAATTACCTTCTGCACCTGCAATCCTACTTTTAGCGATTCATGCACAAGGACACCCAAATCATCTATGTAAATTGTAAACAATTGCGGTCCCAACACTGATCCCTGAGGCATACCATTGGCCACTGACCGCCAAGCAGAAAAACACCCATTTACCCCTACTCTTTGCTTTCTACTCGTCAGCCAATCCTCTATCCATGCCAATACATTACCTGTAATACCGTGCAACTTTATCTTATGTGGCAGCCTTTGGTGCGGCACTTTGTCAAATGCCTTCTCGAAATCCAGATACACCACATCCACAGGTTCCCCATTGTCCACCATGCAAGTAATGTCCTCAAAGAATTCCACCAAATTAGTTAAACATGACCTACCCTTCATGAACCCATGCTGGGTGTTCCCAATGGGACAATTTATATCCAGATATCTTGCTATTTCTTCCTTAATGATAGATTCAAGCATTTTCCCCACTACCGAAGTTAAGCTAACTGGCCTATAGTTACCTGCTTTTTGTCTACTTCCTTTTTTAAACCATGGTGTCACATTGGCTGTTTTCCAATCTGCGGGAACCACCCCAGAGTCCAGTGAATTTTGGTCAATAATTACTAGTGCATTTGCTATTTCCCCCATCACCTCTTTTAGTACCCTGGGACGCATTTCATCAGGGCCAGGAGACTTGTCTACCTTTAGCCCCATTAACTTGCCCAGCACTGCCTCCTTAGTGATAATGATAGTCTCTAGGTCCTCACCTGCTATAACCTTCTTGCCATTAGTTTTCGGCGTGTTATTTGTGTCTTCCACTGTGAAGTCTGGCACGAAATAACTGTTTAATGTCTCGGCTATTTCCTCATTCCCAGTTATTAAATTGGCCTTCTCATCCTCTAAAGGACCAATGTTTACCTTTGCCACTCTTTTACGATTTACATATTTATAGAAACTTTTGCTGCCTGTTTTTATATTCTGAGCTGGTTTACTCTCATAATCTATCTTACTTTTCTTTATAACTTTTTTTGTGGCTTTCTGTTGGCCTTTAAAGATTTCCCAGTCTGCTAAGCACAAACATGCATATTTATAAAATCCCAAACTGAAAGAAGAAGCTTTCCTACTGATGGATAATCCCTTTGTCATCACTGTCTCGTAATAATAAACAAGTGGTTTGGCCAAATTGCCAGGATTTCTGCCTCTATAGCAAAGTGAGAACAATTCAAGCTTCACTGTAATTGGGTATCGAACAGTCATGCTCCATTTTTTAAATGAGATATTGAATCGAAGTCCTGTCTGTCTGTACCAGTCAGGAGGACAGTGAGACCCTTCCCAAGGCATTATTTAGAGAGTTTACCTGAATTCCTCCCTTAAAACAGATGAAACTGACATTTTCACTTCTTTGTGCGATGTAGTTGTGCTTAAAATGACTGACACGTTCACCTGCACAATAATGTTCACCATGTTGCAGTCGATGATAGCTGTGACTCAATGGTACAGCCTTTGAGGCATTAGGATGACGGAAGAAATGTTTAGCCATCTTTCAGACAAGACATTTAACACAAAAAGTCCTGCCTGCTCCCTTGGGCACGCGTAAGAGATAAGCGACTTTATTTTGGAAAGTGCTCTCCCCTGTGCTCTGAGGTGTCTCCCAGTTAAATGGATCATCTGGTTATCATCAGATGCATTGTCCCTGGGTCCCTTTTGCAAAACTGACTGCTTCCTTCCCTATATCACAATCCTGTCGACAGTTCACAAACTGCATTGAGGTTGTAAAATGCTATGGGACACCCTGTGGCACACACATTATCTGAGCTCAGCTTAGAGTGGAACAAAAAACTCGGAGCTGAAGGAGAGGTGATCCAGTGAGTGCAGACAGTTTCAACAGAACAGACAGTTGTAAGACCACAGGGTCTTGAGAGGACAAGTTTGAATGGAAACAGATTTAGGTGAAGTGAGGTTCGTGTGAAGACAGTACCAAGTGTGTACAACCATCAAGTGAAGAAGGATCTAACGAGGCCAGGATCTGTTGGGAAGAGATCGTTCCAGAGTGATCTGGTGACGACAGCATTAGTGAAGCAGGGTGATGTTCAGAGAGGGGCGGATTCCTGGAATGCCACCTAATGCCATGAGTAAATGGGCTCAGTTAGCTGGATGGCTTGTGACACAGAGTAATGCCAACAGTGTGGGTTCAATTCCTGCATTGGCTGAAGTTACCATCAAAGTCTCAACCTTGCCCCTCCCCTGAAATGTGGTGACTTTTAGGGTAGATCACCACCAATTTATCTCTCTCTCTCTCTCTGATGAGAGTGTAAGACTACAGTGAAATTAGTATTTTATATCTCAAGGCGCACTGTTGTTTCCTGCAGGAAATATCCTGTGCAGGGAGTCAGTAACTTTGGAAGAAGGAGGAGGAAAGAAAATGATGGGAAAAAGCTGGCAGGTTAATCAACAGGTTGGCCCCATGGGATCCTTCTTAATAGCTCACTCCTAATTTGAACCCATTTGCAGATTTCTGCACACTGTATTTTGCACTGCTTTTCAGCAGGTACCAGTGCCCTCTCCAACATTCACATTTCAAGCAACATCACACTGGCCATAGAGTGCATCAGGATGTGCTAAGATTATGAAAAGCACTTTGTAAATGGAACTCTTGCCGTCTCTTGTTAATCTCAGGGGGTGCTGAGGGACTTCCCTCCTTCACCTGGTGGATGTTGCTTCTCAATCGGAGAGATGGTGAAAGTAATGGGCGTTTTATTTTGTTTTCCTTCCCAGTCTCACCTCACCACTGCTCTGAGAGTACAGATGTGGTGAATATGAGGTGCCACCTCTTACTGGGCTAGTCATGGTGTTGCCTCTAGCACTGGCCTCCCATACTATGTGACTGGGTGCACTAAATGGTTTGGTGTGCCTGTGTGTGATGGTCAGTGGGTAACCCTCCTGCATCAGCATTCCTTGTAAAATCAAGGTAGGACCCTCCCTACCAAAACGTGAGGTTGTGCCAGAACTTTCTGACTGACAGTTGTCAAGAGTCAGGAGCCACGGCTCAAACCCTTAATCCAAGAGGATGTGCTTTTACAATAGGATCATTTTAGCGGCCCTCCCTGGTTTAATTACGACTATGAGTAAAAGCCCATCCTGAACAGGTTCTGAGAGTTGGCCCAAATAGACCAGTTGACATTTGGAATGGGGATAAAGGCAGAGCATTAGTTCACTGTTTGGGATGCGAACTACAACCTGGGTCACTTCAATACGACAGTTGCTGTGTTAGGGAGTCTGACCTGATAGAAACAACGCCATCCCTCTACCTGATGTCAGAGTTGGGAGTTGGTAAACGCAGCGAGCTTTTTTCCAGTATGGCCTTCATGAACAATACAAATTTTTACCAGGTTCATCTTTCTCCCTCCACGTTGTACAAATCTTTATGGGGAACATTTGAAAATTCCTTAAATTGGAATAAGATCAAAATCCATCCCTTTGTTGTGGGTTGACTAGTGCATCTGACCCAATGGTCAAGGAAAGGGAATAGGAAGAGACAAAAACAGTTACAATTTCAACTCAATATCAAATGCAGATTGGACAGGACATGGCTGTGATGCACCACTCAGTCAAATATCTTGTTCTTTAAGGATCATTTCAACCTTTGACGATAGTATAAACAGGGCAATGCCAGATTGGTTATACAGTTCTTCTGATATTTGTTGCTGGTGTGCAATGGTCTGACATTGCCTGTGAACACTGCTGTCAATATTTCACACTTTTCCCACTGTCCGGAATCACTGGTGAGGACCAGCTGACATGAACAAAGGAGCATAGCATTGTCATTGGGATGTAAGTGCAGGCAAACAGGAGACATGGGATAGATCATGATTTATGTGCAACCAAATCACTCCCAGGTATCCATTACTCCATACCATCGACCATCTGAACCCCTCAGTTAGAATCCAGTCTGTAATTCACTCTCAGGTTTCCATTATAATATATATCAACCTTCTGAACCCCTCGATTAGATTCCAGTCTGTAACTCACTCTCGGGTTTCCATTATACTATATGTCAACCATCTGAACCCCTCAATTAGAATCCAGTCTGTAATTCACTCTCAGGTTTCCACTATAATATATATCAACCTTCTGAACCCCTCGATTAGATTCCAGTCTGTAACTCATTTTCAGGTATTCATTATTCTATATATAAACCATCTGAACCCCTGGATTAGATTCCAGCCTGTAACTCACTTTCAGGTTTCCATTATTCTATATATCAACCACCTGAACTTCTCAATTCGATTCCAGTCTGTATTATAGAATCCCAACAGTGTGGAAAGAGGCCATTTGGCTCATCAAGTCTGCGGGGCATCCCACCCAAACCCAGACTCCATCTTATCCCCGTAACCTGCATTTCCCATGGCTAATCCATCTAGCTTGCACATCTTTGGGCTATGAGAGAAAACCAGAGCAACCGGAGGAAACCCATGCAGACACAGGGAGAATGTACAAACTCCACACAGACAGTGGCCCGAGGCTAGAGTCGAACCTGGGTCCCTGGCGCTGTGAGGCAACAGTGGTAACCACTGAGCCACTGTGCTGCCCCTGAATGTAATCTCAAAGATGTATAACTGGCTGAACTTTGGACACTTATTGTCCTTGAGGAAGCCCTGCCTTACCTGGAAGCGAGTCCTCTCTGCTGCATAAACCTGGTAGTGCAACATTGCTTGCAGTATTTTCTTGTGCCCTCCAGCTACCAGACAAACTGCACCCAGGATCTCCAGCACTGCGATCTTGGTCTTGATGTTCTCCGTCCTGAGGCTGTGCGAAATGATGTTGATGCTCTCTGGGTGAGCCAGCACGTGCGCCCGGCCTTGGGAATTGTTCATCAGAGCCTTGATGCACCCTATAACGGATGTGTGAATGCGGCTCTCTGACGTGTCGTAGTCCATGCTTCGGAGGAAGTTCAACAGGCACGTAAGCCCATCCAGTTCGATGAATCGCATCACAAACCTGTGGGGTCAAAGAGCCACAAGATTAATGCACTGTCCCCCCCCGCCTTCTGTTTTTTACCCACCCCCTCCCATCCCCACCACTGCTCCCACCCACCTCCACCTTTGGGGTACAGTCGGGTCAGCACAAGAGACGCTTCCTCAGGCACAAGCTGCTCTAAACAGAACCAGCAGTCCACTGCTGTAGTCCAGAGGTAACAATATCCATCTCCAGCCTGTCCTTCCCTACCTCCAAGTCTTTGGGCGAGGTTCTGAGGAAGGGTCAACGGACCCGAAACGTTAACTCTGTTTTTTTCCTTCACAGATGCTGCCGGACCTGCTGGGCTTTTCCAGCAACTTTGTTTTTGTTCCTCGAGCTTTGTTGATTCCAGGTGGGATATTGTCAACGCCCAGATTTGGAGGAATGAGTTAACCCCACCTCAAACACTTTCTTCACCCACACCAACAAGATGAACCACAAAGGACCCCCTTTCACTGGTAGATGTTTTTCTCCCAAACCAAATGAACTTATGCCTTTTTTTTGAAGACGAGCGAATTTAACTAGACTTTCATGAATTATCAAACATGTGAATTTATTAGTGACTAAATGCAAAAAGAAGTAACAAGACTACACACACGCACACAGACTTGAAATAAGAAGCGAGCCCAACAAAAGATTGGGTTCAAAGATATAGTGCGCAGTCTCTGAGTTGCTCGCACAAAGTAAATAGTGGAATGCTGATAGCTGAGCAGTCGATTGAGGTTTTTGGCTCTGCAGCTGAGCAGAAATGATTTTCTATTGTTTGCTTTGGACTGGCTCGCTGACTAGCATCAAGCCTTCGGGGATCCCCAGCCACAAACCAGCCCGAGACCCCCAGCACCTCCTGAAGCTTTTAACATGCCCTGACAGCAGAGGAACGCAGTGGGCAAGGGGACTGAAAATCACAGATGGTTCTGCTGTTAATGAGCTAATAAAATCAAGATGGCAAAAAACAAGGCTGACCACTCCCATGCCCACTCAACTTCCGGAATTTGGGAAACCCGCCCAATGCAATGTGCTGCCTACTGTCCTTGTGCCAACAAGTAGTCTTTGCTTGGACCTCAAGGGATCAATATGAACATGGCAGATCTGGCATCAAGAGAAATCATCCTCGGCCTTTTCAATTGTAATTCCACACTCACAAATCCAGTTTTCTTCAGACATGGTCTGAATAGCCAAAATTCTTCAGGATGTTTGGGAAGCAGAGGGAACGAAGCTGGAGATTGTTGGGATACATAAACTGGTTGATTGGTCTCCACTGCCAAAGAATTAAATGTTTCCACCTTGGCATTCTCTCTTCATGAGCCACAGGCATGGGTAGCACGGTGGCTCAGTGGTTAGCACTGCTGCCTCACAGCACCAGGGATTTGGGTTCAATTCCACCCTCGGGTGACTGTCTGTGTGAAGTTTGCACATTCTCCCTGTGTCTGCGTGGGTTTCCTCTGGGTGCTCTGGTTTCCTCCCACAGTCCAAAGATTTGCAGGCTAGGTGGATTGGCCATGCTAAATTGTTCATGGTGTACAGGGATGTGTAGACTGGGTGGGTTATAGGGGGATGGGTCTGGGTGGGATGCTTGAAGGGCCAGTGTGGACTTGTTGGGCCAAAGGGCCTGTTTCCACACTGTAGGGCTTCTATGAAATCTGACAAGCACAAATCCACACTCACTTAAACAGGCAGAATCAAAGGTTAGACCCCAAAGCATCAAAAATTAAATGGTGACACAGTCCAATCCTCAGGATTGGATAGATCACACTTTCATTTTACTGTCTGTAGCGGTGAAAGAAAATGGCAAACACAAGGCTGGCACACCTTTACTTCCAGGGAGCCTCCTGCTGATTTGGATGTGGCCCTTCAAGAAGGGGATAGTCTGTCCCCACCTGCCAGGGACTGATTCCTCCCTTCCTCTCCCGCCACCCCAAACCCCACCTGCCAACTTCCCCAGCCCTTTCCCTTTCTCACCCTAACTGTCCTCCTGTTCCTGGGTGGCTCCTGGTAAAGCAGGAATACTTTGAAGCAACATTACGTCCCTCTTAAAATAAAATCTCAGTTTTTCTTAAGAGGAAGGTGCTGATTCGAAGTGTTAATGCCTCAGTCATACAAGAAAATTGAAGAAAAATCAGCGCACTGCCTGCATTACAACAGTGAATAACACTTCAAAACTACTTTAGGCAGGTGCTTTGGGATATCTTGTGGATGAGAAAGGTGATCTATGAAGGTGGGTCTCTCTTCCTTTCCTTAGAAAACTGACAAATTTAAGACAGCTTAACCACAAAGTTAATTCTGCTCCCTTGTACTGTTAGATTTGGCAATATGGGAGGCCATGGCATAGTGGCAATGTCACTGGGCTAGTAATCCAGAGCCCCTACTTGTGTTCTGAGGACATTGGTTCAAATCCCCCCATCACAGATAGTGAAATGTGTGGGGGAAAAGAAAAAAATGGGTGACTGGCAACTATGTAATTGGAATCAATAGTTGGTAAAACCAGCTTGGTTCATTAGTGTCCTTCAGGGAAGGAAATCTGTCCTCCTTACCCAGTCTGCAATCTGAGACCAGACTGACAGCAAAGTTGCTGACTCTTAAAAACCAAAAGAACTGCGGATGCTGTAAATCAGGAACAAAAACAAAGTTGCTGGAAAAGCTCAGCAGGTCTGGCAGCATCTGTGAAGGTAAAAACAGAGTTAACGTTTCGGGTCTGGTGACCCTTCCTCAGAACTCAGTGTTAATGAAAACATTAACTCTGTTTTTTCCTTCACAGATGCTGCCAGGCCTGCTCAGCTTTTCCAGCAACTTTGTTTTTGTTGCTGACTCTTAACTCTGGGTAAATTGGGATGGCCAATACACGCTGACAACATCCAAATAAACAAACAAACAAAAAATACCTGTCAGTCAGATCTTACAATGATAATACAAACCAAAGAGGAAATGTGCCATAGGCAGCGTTACAAAATAAAACTAAGCTGAAAGTTTCCCCATCATTACCTCTTACTTTCTCAGGTTTTCCTCCTTCCTGTCTGATCTCCATATCCTGTTACACCAAACAATTAATAGTACTGGATTGCTTAATAGTTGCAATTGAATTTAAAGTGGCAGCTGTGAGCCAGGAACACCAAATAAAACACTTGTGATTTTGTTTTTATGTTTGATGATGGAAGTCTTAGGCACTGTGGTGGCACAGTAGCTCAGTTGTTAGCACTGCTGCCTCACAGCACCAGGGACCTGGGTTCAATTCCACCCTCAGGTGACTGTCTGTGTGGAGTTTGCACATTCTCCCTGTGTCTGTGCAGGTTTCCTCCAGGTGCTGTGGTTTCCTCCCACAGTCCAAAGATGTGCAGGCTAGGTGGATTGGCCATGTTAAATTGCCTGCAATGTTCAGGGATGTGTAGATTAGGTGGGTTATAGGGGGATGGGTCTGGATGGGATGCTTTTGAGGTTCAGTGTGGACTGGTTGAGCCGAAGGGCCTGTTTCCACACTGTAGGGATTCTATGATTCTATCACACTGCTGAAAGAGGAGGGGGATCTTCAAGTATCCTGGCCCATGAAGCATTCTATCTAAAGCAAAAAGTAATAGTTATTCATTCCTTTCTTTGAAACATTAATTTGTGGGATGTGACTGTCACAAGCCAAGCCAACATTTATTGCCCATCCTTAATTGCCCTTGAGAAGCTGAGCTGCCTCCTTGAAATGCTGTGATCCACGTTCTGACTCTCTAGGATTTTGACCCAGCGAACAATGAAGGAACGGCGATATGTTTCCAAGTCAGGGCGGTTAGTGGGTTGGAGGGGGACATTTGCTGTTGTTACACGGTTGGGCAGGGCGATTGTGAAGTGGAAGTCAGGAAGCTACAATGTATGGCTCCTTTAAGAGATATTTTTTTGTCTGTCTGTGAGCAGCAGATGAAGTTGCCAGTACACAGAGCCTCAAAAAGTGAAACAAGCGTATCAAAAAAATCCTTAGAGGTGGCAGGCAAAGTAGCAATCTTGTTTCGATGTTGTGACAGGCTTGAATTTGGCCAATTAATTTAAACCAAGCACTTAGATACAGAAAGCCAATTGAGTTTAAATCTGATGGTGTTAACAACCTGAAACCAATCACATTATAAGCATTTGATTATGTCATTAAGACAAGGGGATTTGGAAAATCATAGAGAGCCATTCACTACATGTTCAAGTTCAGCTCTCAGAGAAAGCCCACCTAATTAATCAAAGGTACCACGGTATTTTAGCACAAAGGCCTCATTGAAGAAATTATAGAGATAAAACATCCCTGACAGCAGCATGAGCAGAAGAAAGGCATTTGTAAAGAGACTGGAGATGACAGAATATTCCAGAAGACAGTCTGTGCAAACTTGGAGAGATTAAGTTATAATTTATTGCTTCTTATTAATTGGGTTTATATTAGTGGGATTTGTCTTTATTTAAACAGCATTCCAGTGGAATTTAGTCCAGTTAGGGAGTAGTTAGTAGTCTGGGGGGATTGTCAGCTTGTTAGTAATTTTGTTAACTTGTTTATTGTTGGGTTAAATAAAAGAATTGTTTCTTGGTACTTCTAAAGGGGAGATCAGGGATATTTTTTCTTTTAATCACTCTTTGAATAGATTACAATGGGAAAGATGAGCTTCTCTGGGTAGACAAACAGGAGGCTGGAAGAACACAGCAGGACAGGCAGCATCTGAAGGAATGGAGCAATCAATGTTTCAGGTGTTACCCTTCCTCAGGACTGGAGGGATGAGACGGTGGCGAAGACAGGAGCTGAGGAGGGTCACATGGCTGTAGTAGTGGGTTTGTTTCGTGGTATGGTCGAAGAGTTGAAGGGCTGAACATGTCACGGCAGTGTGGCAGTGAGAAAGGAATTCATTGAGTTCATGTTTGAGGGATGGAAAGAACTTCTTCAAAGTGGGCATCCTTGGAAGAGACTTTGCAGTGGTAAAACTTAGAGACAAAAAAAAACACTGCAGATGCTGGAATCCAAGGTAGATAAACAG